GAGCCTGTTCGAATGTTTCCGAGAACCATGGCGTGAAGTGTTCACAATCTAATCGATCGAATGCAACCCTCGAGCGCTTGCTGGTCTGGTCCTAGAGTAGAAATTTTCAAGACCCCTGGCCAAGCGAGCACGTTTCTCCGGTGTGTCTGTGTGTGAGATACGAAGATTCTGGTGAATAATAAGCTTATAAACAAGACCGCTGGAGATGATAGACAAGAATGGCAAGATCGACTACTATTTACTCTTGGAAAGCTGGGTTCTTCAAGAAACAGAAACCAGAATCAATGACAACAACAACAAGAAAGATGGTTGCCGGCGTGTTATGTAAACGGCTCGTATTCGTAGGAGACAGAGAACCTTGAGGAAGATACCGGAGAGATATGCAAATGGATTGGTGGTCGATGGATTTGAAAGGAATCTGAGTTGAAACTTGATCCGCCCTTTTAAGGCTCTTTTCGTCAATCAAATCTATCTATCTATCTGTATCTGTCTTGCCCCTGGATGGCTAAGTCAATGCAAATGTATATGTGTGCTGTTGTGTGTGTTTAGTAAGTCTAGAGGAAAGAGTTAATCTGACATACAAGGAGTTGAATTACTGTCCAGTGACTGTGGGAGAAGATCAAAGGCAAGAACAAGAGAGAAGGAGAGGATATCAAACAAAGAGAAAAGTGTTGTATGATGCAATGCGCTCAGGTCTTGAGATTTCTGTGAAGGGATTGCTGTTGGATGATTGTTTTTCGAGTGATGTTTCTTGAGACAAAGACCAGAGAAAAGTTTCCAATTTGAGTTTATCAAATTCAAGACGGGAGGCCCGGCTGGTGAGGCAAACTTCTTGTCAGGGGGTGGCTCTGGAAGCTTGAATCAAGGCCGTGTTCAAGACCCGTAGGGGGAGATTAGAGCGGCAAATGAAGGTATGTTTTGTGTATACTGCGTGGAGAGTCGATTGGAGACGAGGGGTTGAGAGTGCAGAATCTACCAGTCCAAGCGTCAAGAGGTGATTCAAGCGTAAAAAGAAACCTTCTGTCTGAGTCTTATTGTTCGAATGATGGACGATCGGCTCCAACGGAATTAAGTAGCTAGAGTGATTGATTGTTTTTTTTCGTTGGTTAGAGAGGGGTAGAATCCGCAAGAGAGAAGCAGAAGGGGTGTGATGGATGCTATGTACTCGACTCAGAACCTCGGAAGGCGGAGTAGTATCAGGGGATGTTGTGATGAGGGGGTGCAGCGTAGGTGCCGGAGTGGGCAAGTGATGAACGAAGACTGACAGACTGAAAATGGTGACCAAGCCCACGCCAGCCCGAATGCGGAGAATGAATTACGGGAGGAAGGCAGAAGGGGGCGATGAAGGGGAATACCTGTCATGGTTAAAGAGCTGCTCGCGGGGATGGCCAGCCTGCCAGACGCCAGTTGAAGGCTGGAGCAAAGCTGATTGATGATGTACTGAGCGCTGAGTTTGAGTGAGGTTTGAAGCCGAATACAGCGAATGAGACATGCTGAAGATACAATGTACAGACAGAATGATATATACTTTGGCTCAAGATAGACATATGACTTTGAAACTATCTCTAATAGCCTAGTGCGATCAAGGGCAGTGCGCCTTCCTTCCTCGCAGTCTTCAGTATGTAGTGTCCTGGATCAACTTGGCATCAACTCCAAAGGCCACAAGCCGAAATGCAACGGACCGGGAAAGAATGAGAAGGATTAAGCAAATCTGTGCATGTCCATAAGCTCGGCTATGTCAAGCCTGTCGGTGCCCTGATCACAGAGCCTGGGGCAAGTTTCAAGACAGCAACAGGGGTTGAGGGTCTGCTTGCTAGCGGATATACTACTGGCTCAGCAGAGAGCAGAGCGGGCAACGCCGAACCTAATGGATGCGATGCCGTCTTTGACTCTTGAGCCTTGTCCGTGACCGTATCCCAGCCGGTCTCCTGCCACCGGATTCAGATAAGATGAACGACTGTTACATCAAGTGCAACAGCTGTTGGCTGTGCCACAAGTACTTCCTTTCCGCAGGTTGGATATCCACACGAAACAAGTTAGCCGAGGAGACTTTTATTAGTTTCCTCGTCAGCACCACATAGCCTTCATGATTGACCGATCTTGGCTCGAATGTACAATTGTTTCGTGTGTCTACTCGTCCAGACAAATATCCTTGCCATCCGCGGCGCTGAACTTAGAGAGTACTCATAATATATTGGTCTTCCATCCTACTCCCTGAGGATCCATCATCATGGACCCGATGACACCATTCGGAGCTCAATACAAAGAATGTATCCAATCAACGCCTGTCCTCGTCCATACACCGATTGTCCGCTCTTCATAAATCTTCATGTCATCTGGAAGCTTCCTGACGAATCCAGGGACCAGTGGTTACATTGGTGATATTTTACCATCAGGTCACATGTCTCTCGAGTCTGATGACCTGAATGGCCGGGAGTGACCTCGGATGTCCACTCATTGGTGCATGCATACATGCACATTCTTTCTGGCTTCCCCGGACCCCAGAAAAAGAAGCCAAAGTGTATTTTGAATCTGCATCTGATTTCGGAAGGCTCCAGAAATGTACAGCATAAGCGCGTGGGGGCGGGGAAGGGCGGGGAGATCATGAGCATAGAATAGCATATGTGGAATCTATGAATCTATGTATGCTGGTATAGGCTAGTATAGTCTTGTTCTGATTTGTTTCTACTTGTTTGTTTTCGGAATGCCGAATGAGGCCGGATGCGGGGGTAGATACATACTGCTGTAATATCTGTACGGATAAAAACCTCATAATTCTCAGTGTGCACTGCTGAGCACGGCCGTTTGATACGGTAAAAGATTAAAAAACTTGCGGAGCAACTGCCTCTGGTTCCCGACATAACGGAAACCGGACCAATGCAACAGATTCGATGAAGTGACATCTGGAAGAGGAAAGAGTCATGGGGGTGTAGTCAAGAAGCAGCGGTCACAGTCACATTGAGATTACACTTGCAAACTTGTCAACTTCAATGAACAGTGTGAGATCATTGAATAGTGCTTCAACGTTGCCAAAAAATGACACAGTCGAAGATTAGACACGACGAATGAGACTCAGCAATAATCGAGCAATCATGAAATGCATTAAGAGGGGGAGATTATACAATGTATGAGTTTAATCCACGGGACAAGCATATATGGCCAGAAAAATATTGAAAGAAATTGATTTGCACATCAAAGAAAGAGAGTTACGCGGAAACAAAAGAAAAAGACCGACTACCATGGAGTGGTTCGAGAAAAGAAAAGAAAAATTAGGATGGAGTTGCTCCTATACAAGGTGGTAAGATGTCAAGGATTTTTTTATAAGAAGGTTTGTTACAAGAAAATGAAAGCCAGTAAATTGCGTCAAGCATCAATGAAAAAAAAAAAAAAGATGGGTCAACCGTATTGTACCTTTCAGTAACGGACAGAGCGGCATGCCTTGCGTTTCTTGCCGGGGGTGGATTTGGTGCCAGTGTCGCCAGATGCAGACGAGGTGCCGGCAGATTTGGAGATCGAACCGATGGGGCCGATCTTGACTTCGGAGAATTCGACTGTGGCGTCGCCGAACTTGGCTCGGACATTGTCTGGGTCGCCGGCTTTGGCGTCACAAGTACCTCTGGCGACTCCGAAAGCGGTGGCTGGCTTGGTGGGTGGGTAGTTGGAGTCGAGCCAGTTCATCTGGGCCATGTGGTCATCCCACAAACTGAAGACCAAGACCATTCCTCTCTCCAGCGCAGCATCCATCCCTTTCATGCCTCCTTTGATCTTGAAGTCGTTGACGTCCCCGGTGGCCTTCTTGGTTGCGTCACAGAATTCCTGGGTAATTGAGTCGGCCGGTTTGGCGAGTCCGGGAATCTTGACGGCTTCATTTTTGATCGTCTTGCCATCTTGAACGTAGATTCGTCGAATTTCGGAGAGCGGACCAGTGTCGGTGCCATCGCTGGTGATGAACTGGGTGATGACGGTGAATTTCTTAGTACTGTCTACCGTCTTGCTGGGTCCGTAGAACTCCTTGGCGCCCCATCGGTAAGAAGCGAAGTCGCACCCGTCCTTGTCACATTCAGCCTTGTATCGGTCACCGTCCCCATTGCCACAAGCTGCTCCATGGCAGATCACGGGTTTGGCACTTTTGCAAGGATGGGGAGTGAACGCTTGAGAGACCGAGTTGGCCTCCCAGATGTCCATTTCAGGACAACAGCTGCCCATGTCACCCGTGCCGGAGTTGGGGTCTGTCTTCGAAGGGATCCATCCTTTGGAGTTGGCCTGGAAAGTGGGGAAGATAAACATATGTAAGTACTTGATTTTCTAAAGATAACAAAGTTAGAATGCTAACCTTTCCACCGATCCATTTGACATCTTGTGGGCACTGCGCATCACAGTACCCGGTTCCATACTTGGCACCGGCCATGTTGTTGCCGACACCTTTGCCTCCGTCTTCTTCCATGGCGGAGAAGTAAAGAGCGCCGTTGAGACCGCAGGGCAACTTGGAAACGTCGACGGTGAAGGCGAACTCCTTGTTCTTGAGCTTGAACATGAAGTACTTATCTTGCATCGTGAAGTAGAGCCTCGAGCCGAAGTTCTTCGAGTATGGGCCGTTGGTGACAAAGGTGAGCTTCAAGCCCTTAGGGGTGGTAGTGACGCCGTAGGTGTCCTTGTAGCTGGCACCGTCAAGAGCACAGTTCTTGGCACAGGCATCCCCATCAGGACAAAACCCATTATCCCACAAGTTTCCGGTGTAGCAGTTCTTCTTCGCGTCGATGTTGTAAGCCCATCGCCAATTGGCGTCGATCGTCGCACCACCCTTGAGGGGCTCACAGCCCTTGGCGGTACAATTTTCGATGGTAATCTCCGGTGGAACCTCGGGGTTCATCGTACCAACTTGTTGGGAGCGGATCAACGCGAGGTTGGCCAGGTAGACACTAACAAAAACAAACCAGCGCATGTTGCGAAAATAAAAGTTTCGAAAAAGGTGTGTAGGTAGAAAGGGAAGAAAAAATTCACAGAGGACTGTGTGGCGAATGTACAAGTTGAGTGTTTGTGGGAGGATGGGGGAAAGTAGAATGCCGTACGATCAATGCTTTTTATAGAGAAATTTACTAGGGGTAGTAGACAGCAGTATGTAGACCAGCTGTAGGCTGGAGCCGTTAACGAGCGGGACCCTGTATATACAGACGTGCTCCCGGCAGGTAACAATGTGGGAGGGATACCTACATACATAACTACGCAATCCAGGGCTTAGAGGCTTTCAAACGATTTGCAAATCAGTCACCATGACGCCTTCTCCAAAACGAGCCCGGCGATAGGTGAGCCTTATGCGGAGTTGCCCAATCGATTGCTATTGTATTCTGGTAGTCTACCGCTTGCAGGCGCGTCAGAAGCAACCTCAGCACGAAGGGGAGAGTATTGCAGCCCTTGTTGATAGTGCCACAGAGTACATTCCCTGGCGTCGGTAGGGTGACGGCCCTACGGAGGTCCAAGACGGGTCCATTCTCCCGTGACCGAATAGCTGATGCGCACGCCCACAAATTTGTAGCCATCGCTGCACACGTTACAAATTGTCCGCTGCCCCATGGGGAGGCGTATAGGGTGGTCCCAGGTTCATTGATAGTGCCAATGGGACACTCGGTGGACAACAGACGCTAGGGAGCGCCTGCTCCTTGCGGTTTTTTTGGTAACATGCGCAGAGGGTGTTGCTGGGTGGAAATCCTGGCCTAGAGGCTAGACTGAGATGGCCGAGGACCTCGCCTGCAAACGGTAGACTCCAAAAGTATAGCAATCGATTGGGCAATTTCGCTCAAGGCTCAGCTATCGGCCGGGCTCGTTTTCGGCTGGGGATTGATTTGCGAATTGTTTGACAGCCTTGCCTGCGGTGTACTTGTCGGCGCCATCGACCTGCTTGCCTGGGCTGATTGACGTCGGTTGGGCAAGCTATTATGCCCTGACAACCCTTGCTGGATGGGTCAGAGCAGCATACGTCGGTCCAACTTGTCTGTAGTATCGAGCTTTCCTCACATGAGTCAAGTTCACTCGTCTTAGACTCAAAATACCGAGCGGTGCAGGTGTAATAAGGTCTGTGTTTGTAGAACCAGCAACAATGCCTGGCTAGAATTTTTGGGCCGAGTCCCACACGAACATGCCATGAGTGAACCAGGCTATTCCAATATGCCTCCCTTGTGTTTTTATTATATAGATATTCTTGCTTTTCATCATCATGTTTTGCAAATCATCCTTACATTTTACAACTTGACATAAATAGATTATCACATCAAGCCCCTCAGCCTGTGCCTGCAAACATTCATCAATCTTCACCCCGGGATGCCTTCCTTGACCCGCCAAACTTGCCGCTTGAATTCTCATTATGGAGGCATTGGCGAGGGTGTGTTCCAACAAAGGCCAGCAGGGTATGTTCAAGTTGCATTCACAGATCAAATCACTTTTGTTTCATTTTTCCTTGGGTTCAACCATCCATGATTGCCTCCCTCTGTTGTAGACTCAGCAAAATATCCACACGCACTTTCTACAGCAACGATGCTGTTGTCCCGTTTTTCAATCGCACTCGGGAAACTAAACAACTCGCCGGTCGGGTCAACAGAAAACCTGTTCTGACAGTCCTGCTAGGACCTCCCAGTACTGGGAAGACGGCGCCTGTCAGATATGTCACCACCCAGCTGCGAGTGGATGGAAGCCCACAGTTCCATCCACTGACCATTGATCTCCGGTCAGTGGACACTTCGGAGGAGGGTGCCTTCCTTGAGGCCTTTTTGGATAATCTAAATGGAGCAGGGGCATGGGCATGGCCCACGGTATGGAATGACATGATCAGCACCACCACACATTCAAGTGGATCCCTTAGAGCATCTCTAACGGTCTGGGGGTGGATCGGCTCGCCTTTGGCGGCCTGGAGTCAGATGTCCCGAGGTGTCACCGGTCTGTCACAGTTGTCCTAAATGCGGACTGTGAAGTTGAGCGGGGGTGGGTGAAACGCGGCCAAAGCTGCCAAACTCAGCAGCCGAGGGCAGCTTTGGTCCACCCCCGCGATGTTCAGCAGCTCGCTCGGCAGCTCCGCTAGCAACCAAAAGAGCCTCGCGGCCCGCTGAAGTCGGTCCCAGGTCCCGCATCAGCAGGACCGTTGGAGATGCTCTAAGTAGCTCCTGGAACAGTTTTAGAACTAGCGGGGAACAAATCTACTACCCACTAATCCTTGGATCAAAGTCGCTTGGAACATCCTTGGATTAAGCGAGACTATCTCTTGTACACACCTCTCATCACCCTCCCGAATACTGAACAACACACACCTCCTTCATTTATCCTCAAGATGCCACCAAGAAAATCAAAAAAACAACTAAACATCATTCCAAATCACCCAACCACCCCAAACAACAACACACCCAACTCAAATGCCAACAATAGCAACCCACCGAACTCAAACAGCAACCCTCCCAACTCAAACAGCAACCCTCCGAACTCAAACAGCAACCCTCCCAACTCAAATGCCAACAATAGCAATCATTCCAATTCAAACAGCAATCCGGTGATCCCTGAAATACCACCCTCAGAGAAACCCAAGCGAGCCCCAAACTTCTCACCTGAGGAGGACGAGCAGCTTGCAAAGAGCTGGACGGTTATATCAGAAGACGCCATCACATCGAACAATCAGAGCAAGGATGTTTTCTGGGAACGTGTGGTTGAGGACTTCAATATGTCTACTAGCGGGCCTCGGCGAGACGATAGTGGTTTATCAACAAGGTACATAAGTTTTATGTTCTATCAGATTACAGAGTGTCTTTTTGGACTCATTTTTGTCTGTTGATAAAGGTGGAAGGCTCTCCAGAAATCTGTTCTCAAATTCGGAGCCATATACGATCGCCTGAAGAACAATCCGGCGTCCGGTTCAACACCTGAAGATTGGCTCATCAATGCCAGGCAGCTATATTATGAGCAGGTCGGCAAACAATTCATGTCCGAACGCTCTTGGAATCTCCTCAAACATGTCCCAAAGTTTCAGAATTTGGCTGGAAGAGCGAAGCCCGGGACATCTTCTCAAATAGCTAGCGAGTCTCAATTTCTTTCTCAACCTGCAAACGACTCCTCACAACCATCTTCTACCAACGCTGAAACACCGACATCGAAGAACTGGGAACGACTGCTTGGTGCCCATAGCTCAAAGCGCAAGGTTAACGAAGAGGAATACAAAAGAAGAAGAATGAAGTACTGGGAAGTCTCGCACAAAGAGGCGCTCAAAAGAAGTGTTGAAGCGAAGCGATCAAACGATATTCAAGAAGATCTTGTCGCGACCGAAAACAAGAAGATCGACTTCAATCTGATGTTCCAAAATCCTAACTCCTGCCCAGACGACATATCTCGTCGATTCTTAATGAAGCAAAAGGAAGAGATCTACAAGAAATACAGCAAACCACCCAGCTCTCGTGTGCAAGGCGAGTCTTCAAAATCCGTGACAGACCACTCTTCCGAACCTTCCTCCCGATTTCATACAAGCGATTCCGAGCCAATGAGGGACGAGACTAACGAAAGCGAGAAAGAATATGAAGACATTGATGAAGATGAGGATGATCAGGATGATGATCTTCCCACTCACACTCAGATCCTCGATCTTGATGATTTTAGCCAGTCCGTCTAGCCTTCATTTTTTGCTTGATTTGAGCATGTCGCTCTGGGTTCTCACTATGTTTGTTGCTCTATGTTCAACTCACTATATTTATTGCTCTGACTATATTCATCTCTCTAGCTTCTCATTACGTTCAGTTCCTTTTGTTGTCTTTCTCTTGGTAAAAACTATCAACTGTCAAACTTTATAACAAACATTGGTTGGTTTGAGGAAATGAAAAGACTGAGTGAAGAAAACGAGCGACTGAGAGACAAGTTAACAAAAAAGATCGATTGAGTGAACAAAAATTTAAAAAATAGATTGATCGAGTGAGAGACAAGTTAAAACAGAACAGATCGATTCAGTGAAAAAAAATAGAGCAAGCGAGTGAGAGACAAGAAAACGAAAGAAATCAAAGAGATCACAACTGGATATTCTAATCGGAGTCCTCAAGCGGATCATCAAGCACAGACTTTCGGTTGCCAGACTTCTCCCACAGGTGCTTGATGAGGTCGTTTGTGAGGTTTCGATGAGTCTGGATTGATCGCATCTCGATATCGCGTATGTGTTGATCGCGAAGGCTATACGGCTCAGATCTCGGGGGGATTAGCTTTGTAGTAACCGGCAGGGGAGGGTACTGCCGTCGTTCGGATCGGTACTCGACTATCATGTTATGAAGGATTATGCAAGTCCTCATTATGGAATGCATATCCTCAGGGTACCAGTTCAGCGCCGGTTTGGTGATAATCTGAAACTGTCCTTGTAATATTCCAAATGTTCTTTCGATGTCTTTCTGAAAAGATTCTTGCCTCTTTGTGAAATATTTTGTTGGGTCATCTTGTTTAGCGAGCCCCTTGGATTGAATAAGTGTCGACCATTCGTAGTAGATCCCATCGGCCAGATAGTAGGGATATTTGTACCGATGGCCTTGAAGTTTGAACTCAACCCCCCAGCCAGTACCAGCAATGATCGGTTGGAATAAGGGTGATCGATCTAGTACATTCTTGTCGTTTAAACATCCAGAAGTTCCAAAAAAGGCGTGCCATATCCACGTATCCTTTGATGCTGTTGCCTCGAGAACTAGTGTCGGCTTTTTTTCTTTTCCTTCAAACTGCCCACTCAATGCAGTGGGACAATTTTTCCAGGCCCAATGCATACAATCAATACTTCCGATGCAGCCTGGAAACCCTCTGGCAGCGTTCTCTTCAAGTATCCGTTTAAGGTCGTCTTGATTTGGGAGTCGCAGATAGGTTGGTCCGTAAATCGCCTCAATAGCATGGCAGAAGTTTTCTAAATTTTGTCGGGCAGTTGTCTCACCCAATCGACAATATTCATCTGTAGCGTCGAGAGGTACTCCATACGCCAATTGTCGTAAAGCAGCGGTGAGCTTTTGGTGAGGGCTCAATCCCAGTCTTCCAGTACAGTCCTGAAAATGAAAAGTTATTAACTCAATTTGATCACTAGTGATTAAAAAAGGACTTACTGGCTTCTGTACAAAGTAGGGACATTGGTTGGTGACATCCTGGAGGATCCGGAGGAAAAGGGGCCTCTCCATTCGAAATCGTTTGGCAAATTCGGCTGAGTCATAGGTTGGGTTTTCATTAAAATAATCGGTCATCAGTTTTTCATGGTGTTCAATGTGGCTTCGATCCTTGTTTGGCCGGCGATGTTTACGTTGTGGCTGTTCATTGTCCTCAGAATCGCTAGAGTCAAGATCATGCAGATCCTCATTAATGAGTTGCTGGGTCAAACGTCGGCCACGCTCGAAGTGGTTTCTGATGGTGAGGAAATCGGAATCGCCAAAAAGGGTGTTGAAGTTGTTGGACATGAGAGCGGGAGTGAAGGGGTGTGTTGGTCTGCCGATGCGGTTGATGGGATTAAGTCGAGGAATAGTGATGTTGTGCTCAGAGTTAGTCCCACCGATGTGGTTGACAGTCTGGATTAGTGCTAATCCAGGATTAACCTAACTCCTTAATTCAGGTGTAAGTTGCGCACCGATGCGGGTGCTCTTAAACCTTCTGTGACATCGGCACCAAAGGTTTTCAAACATCTGGGGAACAGCCTTAAGCCATGGAATTCTCACCAAGGTGAAAGAGCTCCCATACTGATCATTGATGAAGTCAATCCCTTCAAAAGGATGAGTGACAAGGTACACCTCTTGCCAATTGTCTGTTGAATACAGAGCATTATTTACTGACATTAATGCACTCAAGGGCGCACAAGCCTTCCTTAATTTTGCTGTTCTAATCACACAAACAAGAAGCAAAGATGCATGTAATTTTTACCTTGTCAGACCCATTTCCAGAGCTGGCTCACACCTTCCAAGTTACAGTGTCATCTATATTTCTGACCCTACTCCTACCACCCCTTTAGGCATCAATCCTTTCCACTATTCAACACTTGTCTTAGGTGACCTGACCCGACAGGAGGCATACAACTATTTTCTCCAGTTGGTCAAAAGTGATCACAATCTTACAGAAGAAGATAAAATTATTCTAGAATCCATTGATTTTGGAATTCCCTTCAAAATGACTGGAGGGGGGATGACCTTTATAGAGCAATACATCTCTCAAGTTGTTGAGTCTGAACCCTACAGATGCCCTGACCAGTCACCAAGTTCCTGCTTCCTCTCCTCTGTGCTATTGGAGCATGATAAGTGTCCAGCCCAAGATTCAGTCCAGTGCACCTAGTGCTGTCTACTTGTAACTTGTCCACCCTAGTGTTGTCTACATACATCTAACTTGCAGATCCAGGGCATATCTTGCCTTTATGACACTTCAGATTTTAGATCCACATTGGTTGAGAGAAGATTAGTGAGGATTATCAAGCTTGCTAATTCTTGAGTTAGCAAGGTATGAATTTGATACCAACTAACTCCAAAACTGACCCCAGCACTAACTTTAGTCCAATCTCATCTGAACTCAGGTCCCATGTGATTGGGAGGATTAAATTAGGAAACTAATCCTGCCTAATCCACAATGTTGATGCTCTTATGTGATCAAGCAGAAAGAATACATGAGCTGGCTAATTTTTCCCAGGCATTACACTACAAGCAACACCCATTTTGCCCCAACAATAAATGGCAATTTGGGTGGGGGAAAATGGATCAATTTTCTGGCACTTTTTTCCAAAATGCCTCAGGAGTAGAAATTGGGCTAAACTGAGCTATTTTAGCCCAGAGATAGAAATTCATCAAACATTCCAAAATGTTTTTTTAGCTCATTTGAGACATTTTTATTTTTTTGGCTAAAATAGCTCATTTTAGCCTAATTTTTTACTCCTGAGGCATCTTGTAAAAAAAGTGCCAGAAAATTGATCTATTTTCCACCATCCAAATTGCCATTTTTCCTTGGGGCAAAATCGGTATTGTTTGTGGTGTTATCTCCTTGCTAAAACTTTCCAAAGCACAGAACAGCCCAGATCAAGTGTTTTACTACCTTTTTGTATGTAGTAACTGGTGCATTTACCAGTGATGATTGATGAATGAAGAAGCAAAGCAAAACAAAGCCCCATTGATACTGATAGAAATTGATTTATTCAATAATAATATATATATATATATATATATATATATACCCATCCCCTCACACCAATTCTAACTTAAATGACTAGATAGAAAGAGCTTTACAAACTCAAGATATAGAAGGATATTCAAAGTCCATAATGGAGCCTGAATCTATTCAATCACAGTCACTATTATCGTTTGAAAAGAAGAAATGTATCAAACCCAGATTTTGAGATGGCAAATAAGTTTGAAATTGATCCAATCAAATACCCATACTGTCCCATCCCCTCAAATCAATGCCACCAATTCCAATGGAAAGATAGAAAACAGTTTTCCAAAATTGAGAGAGAGGGGGATGTTCAACCTTTATTATCAAGCTTATACCCATTAATCAGATTCAATATCCTCATTTTTGTGTTTCAAAGTTGTGGAGCATCTGTTGGATAAATCACACTTGAACTTCAAGGCCAGGCAGTTAATTCCAGCCTCCAGGCACTTATTATATCCCCACAAAAAACCTTGATTAGACTTTGGTCCAGCCACCCAATTTATGGACTATATTTTTTTTTTTTGAAACATGTGATTAGAAGTCAGCAGACTTGAAGGAGTTTTGTTTACATATACACCCGTAATTATGATCAAAAACACTCTTAAAATAGCCACATCAGTAAGCAATCTTTCTTCTAACATAAAAGAAGCATCCTTGACTTTCAATCCACATCCTGTGTTCAAGCCCAAGTGATTTTCCCTTGGAAATACAACAAACCCACAACTCTGAACCATCATGAAAAGATTTGTGATTAGTATGGTCATAGCAGTATTTCTGGCAAAAATATCCACAATCAACTTTCTCACCAAACACATGATTGATGGAGCTGAAGACAGGCTGGGAAATGTGCTTTTCATAAGTGAGGGAAAGTCGCTGCCAATTCAATGTTACATTTGTGGCAAGTCTGGCCATCTGGCCATGGAATGCATCCGTCGCTGGCTCCTCCCTCATCCTCCCCCACCAGACCTCCCTCAATAAATTCCCAGGAACTCTATGTAAGATTATTTGTACAACATACCACATCACGGGAAGAAAAAATAAAGAAAACAAAAAAGAGTGAAGGGAGCCAAAAAAAAAACAGAATAAGAATGGAAATCAAACAGGCCAAATAAAATAAAATCAAATGATTATTAAGACAGTCTTATAAAACTACCACATAAGCAATGAAAGATGCTGTGGATTGGCAGAAAACAAACTTTTATGGAATGCATCCGTCACTGGCTCCTCCCTCATCCTCCCCCACCAGACCTCCCTCAATAAATTCCCAGGAACTCTATGTAAACATATTTGTACAACATACCACATCAAGGGAAGAACAAAAAAGAGTGAAGGGAGCCAAAAAAAAATAAGAATGGAAATCAAACAGGCCAAACAAGATAAAACAATTATTACAACAGTCTCATAAAGCCAACACTGAAACAGATACAGTATCTGCCATGTATCACTATGTATCTGAGCCCCAATAAAAAAAACTGTCTGACCAATCTGCTTTTATTTGCAAGGAGATTCAACAAATTTGGTTTTTGGCCATGCAGCTTTGCAGAATTCTCCATGATACACACAGTGTATGGTATCTGTTTCAGCATTGATAAAGCTACCACATAAGCAATGAAAGCTGCTTTGGATTTGCAGAAAATACACTTTTTTCTAAAAAAACATTGTGTCAAAGAACAATTGGTAGTCCATCATGACAAGATAAAGTCAAGGCTTACAGCCAATGTTGCCCAATTTCCACTTTCTTCTGGTGATTGCAATGGTGTTTTCTGGAAGCTTTATAACCTATCTCCCCAACATTGTTTGTTGTTGTATCATCCATATCCTAACCTTCACTTTCTCTGACTCTTAGGCTACATATCCTGCTAGTTTTGACTCTCAAAATTGAGTGATTGTATGTGCTTTACAAATCTGAGCTGCATATCAGTTCTTCCTCACCAAACATTATAACCCTTTCACCCAACTCTTCCAAGACAACAGAGCATAAGATAAAAAAAAAACATCACCATTTTGAGTTTCAAGCTTTGGGTATACTAGAATGAGTGTAGGGCCCAGGGGGGTCTGAGTGTGTATTGGCAATGTTGGCTCATGAGACAAGTGACACTACAGTTTTCATAACTGATTGGAGACTTTTCCCAGTTGCAGAAACAGACAGTTTAAGCAAATAACATATATGACAACACAGTTAGCTTCACTTTATGGCAGAAAAGTGGGGGACTTGTTGTGGTCTGAAATTGAATGGCTTGATTGAGGAGGGGCTCCCCAGCCTTGTTAGCTGGTGAAAACCCAATCTCAATCAATTTCCACCACCAAATTGATAATCTTTATCAGGACTTCCTGATCCTCAAATTGACACATTTGGACAACACACAGTGCTTCAATTTTCACGTAACTGGGATTAAGCTTATTGACGCCTCACCACAGACCTCTGCAGGAAAAAGTGTTCACATAGTTGGTCAGGTGCCAGTGGCCTATATGTATTCATTAGAAAGCTTGGTCATATACATATCTTTAAACAAATCTGTAGAAGATATTCCTTATTTTGGCTGGCTGTCGTTCATTCCTGTTTGTTTTTTGTGTGCATGGTTTGGAGGGAGCAAACGTGTTGGTGTGTTACTGGGGAGGTTGTTGTTTGGGAGCAAGTAGTGTACAAGTTTGAGTTCTCGGTTGCTGTGACGTGTTCGAGTTGGATTTCCCTATTATCGAGCAGCAGCCCAGTGCCACGTATTACCCGACAACCACCCACCAACCAACCAACTCCAAAGCCAACAACCACCCACAACATCCACCAACCAAACACTTGCTGTAGCTTCGCAAAAGGACCAATGCACACCATCGCCCAACGGATCAATGCCGTCTCGTTAGTACTTCCCTCTCATCCTCAGAATAACTTAGCCCGCAAACAAGAGAACTTATTGCTCATCCATGGTTTTTATTTTTATTTTTCAGTGCGGTAGCAACGACGACGATCATCTTCCTGGTCGCTGGGATTGCGTTGATCGGCTTGTTTGAAAAACCGGTGTTCGAACCAGCTCGGGTCGAAATCTCTGATGTCGAAGTGTTTGTCTCTTTTCTCTCTCTCTCCACTTTCCATTCGCCATTGATCTAATCAGCAGTTATCTTTTTCATCTTCTACGAAATCCGTCGTATAATTGACATGTAAATATATAAGACTGTGGGGTCATGATAGGAGGGATCACTTTGATCGACGAGACCGGGAATGGACCAATTTCAGATTTGCTGTCGAAGCGGGTAAGCATTTCACAAAAAAAAATCACCAGGAGGAGGAGAAAAAAGAAACTCATGACCGACTGATTCACAAAAAAACAGATCTACGGCCTATCTTCCGATACAACACCAAGCAAATCTTCGTCTACCTAGTAGCCGATTACTCGACCCCAGAGTTCCCGTCGAACGAGGTAGTGTTATGGGACCGAATCATCCGTAATCCTAGGGATGCCAAGATCAATCTCAGTGGAGCCCGGAACAAGTACGCTTTCAAGCACATCGGCGGGTCCTTCAAGTTCAGTTCATCTCCTTATACGTTTCTCTACACTGGAAAGCTACACTTATTATTTACTGATTGGATTCTCCTTCTTGTTATGTTCGTAGGGACGTTAATGCGACTTATACTTTGCATTACAACCTTATGCCTAAAGTCGGCGCTTTAACTTGGGGTATCGCTGGTCAAACTAAATCTTCTGTCCCTTTCCCTCCTGTCAATTACCGTAAACCTCTCAACCGTTAAACCCGACTCTCTCTATCTCTATCTCTTCCTTCCTTTGTTGTTGGAAAACAAAAACTTGTTTCATACTGGGTTCTTCTTTTGTCTCCTTCTTCTTGGATTTTCTTTTTTCTTTTCTTATGAGACAAGCATGAATATATACAAAAAAAATCAATTCCAATACGATGACCCCCAATACTAAAAAATAAATAAATAAAAAATGAATAGAGGAACAAAAAAAACAAAAAAATCTACATTTCTTTTGATTTACAATTATGATCTCACTGCCAAAGCAGTTGCCTCCAATAGCTCTGCCATTGATTAGATTGTGATGTGATTAGGGGAAGAGGTGCTTTGGCCTTTGATCAGGAGACTTGCAAGGCCAAGTGATTATTGTACAGTTGTGGATGGCAAAAACCAACCTTGCCCCTTCTGCAAAAAAGGCCAAGTTTGAGCCCTATGTGTGAATGTAATAGTCATTCTACTTACACATACTGTACATGGTTGGATGCTAAACACAAAATTGTGTAGTACATCCAATAATAATGCATCTAGAAGGTTTAAATTGTTTTTTGGGACTTTCAGTACATGCCATCCAAAGATGAAAAGTTTGTGAGTGTAACACCATTATTACACTCAAACATAAGGCTCAAAGTTGGCCTTTTTTTACAGGAGGGGCAGGGTCAGTTTGTGCCATCATTAACTGTACTGCCAACTGGCAAGATTACTGTTGCTCAAAAGCATTTCAAATAACTTGATTTAGGATAGAAAAAAATAAGGGCCTTGGTTAATCAACTCCCATATTTATGAGTTGTCAGGAAGACCTTCTGGGGACAGTTCCAGGATGTCCCCAGCCCCAAAAACCAGGCTCCCCATAAGCCTTGGGAGTTGTTCCTGCCATTCCTGCAGTAGGAATGGGAGTCCATTCCCAAATGAAAAATAAAATAAAATAAATCATTCCCCAGAAACATCTTGCAGGGAAAGATTCAAACATGCTCAGCCACTGGGGAGAATCCTCCTGGCCATAAAGGTTTGTCCCCCCGCCAGCCTTTACACCTCAATGGCTGGGAGTTATCCCTCTTGGCCTCTGAGAGTGTACAGTTCTCAACAGTTGTTGAGAGTGTACCCTCTCAATGGCCAGAGTGTACAGATCTTGTTGAGAGCTGTACACTCTTGGCGGCCAAGAAATTCCCCCCGGCCACTGAGAGTGTAGAGCTCTCAGAAAAAAAGAGAATTCTCTTGGTTGCTGAGAGTGTACAGCTCTCAGAAACTGAGAAAATCCTCTTGGCCGCTGAGAGTGTACAACTCTCAGCCACCAAAAGAATCCTCTTGTCCATTTAAAGCTGTACACTCTCAGCAGCCAAGATTATTCTCTCAGTTGCTGAGAGCTGTACACTCCCAGCAGCCAAAAGGATTCTCTTGGTCACTGAAAGTTGTACATTCCTAGAGGGGGAATGATAATCACACTCCCCCCCCTCCCATTGCGCACGAACTCCCACACTCCCCTCAGAAGGGGGAAGAGTGATAATAGAGATGGCCCCGCTGCACGCCATTGCAGATTGGCGTGCAGGCAGGCACACCACTCACCTGCAAGGGGTATACCCAAAAGATTGGTGTGCCTGCCTGCATGCCAAATATATGTGGTCCTAAATGCATATTTATATGCGTTTAGGAATTGGGCTGTCCCATAGGACCCAGGCATGGGTCCTATGGGACGGCCCCATGGATGTTTTTTTTTTTCAAAAAAAAGAAGAAAGAAAACTGGCCCCTCTCGGCCTAGAGAGGCCAAGGAAAGAGCGGAGTGAGCGGAAGAAGGAGCGGAGAGAGCAGAAATTCCAACAGTTTAGTTTTGATTTTAAAATATTCATCATTCATTTTGTTTGAAAGCATCACATGTCACCTTTGTATTGAGTCTATACAAACTAGCTAACAATGGGCATGAAATCAAACATTGGCTCTCTCCTTTCCTTAGATGTTTGAAGCCACAATCAGCAAGAAAATCTAGGGGTAAGGATGGCTTGAGCCTTGGGTTGAAGTTGAACAGCCTCTGATATGGGTTGGGTTAGGGTTGTATGCTGGCAAATATAGATCCAGATGGTTCAAATCCCTGTTTGCCCATATTGGACTGGATTGGACTGTCCTCAAGATGAGCTACCCATGGATTGTCCTAATAGCATGTTTAATCCTTTTCAATTACTCCTCAATTAAATGAACCCAGTACCTAAATTTTCAATCAGAAAAAAGCTCCCACTAATCACTGACACAAACCCTCTCCCCCTCTAAAAAAGGGGTTTTTTTCCACTGAAGCACCCCTTCCTCCTTGGCAAGATGAAGAAAAATAGGAAATCCAAAGCCCATGGGTTCAAATGCCCCAACTTTCCTTCCTTAAGTTTGGATGAGTCAGACCTTTTGAAAAAACACAACCTAAACCAACCTTCCCCATCTATTTCTGGGTTGGGGAGTGTAGGAGTAATCTTCATAAATATCATTCAAGGGTGGAGAATCTATCTGAGCCAGTAATGAGCTTGATTGGTAAGATTCTAAATTCAATGAATGAAGATTCTACCTTCTGGGCCATTGAATAAAGATTTTATCCAGGGAGAGAAATGACAGAGGATCTATCTCTTTCCTCCTCAGGTGGCATGTATTCTAGTATCTGCCTACAAGGATCAAGATGGGTGATGGGATTACCACAGGATTTTGGAACTTTACCCAGAGGGCATATTTGTGTCTAACACTCAGATATGGGTCACACAAAGCCTTCTGGGTCTCAAGAATGAGGTTCAATCCAATGCTCTTGGGCCCTTGGCAATCTCATATGTAATTGGCAATGTCAAAATAATAGAGGAGGAGGTTCAAGGAAGATGCTACAAAATAAACTGCTTGGACAAAGCTTTCCTAGTGGCTATTTTTTTTCTATTTTTGTGGCAATTTTATATGTCATTAATCCTCTCCCTCTTTGCCTGAATTTCAATTTCAAGTCTGGGTTCAAGTAATCCTACTATGAGGAAGATTTCCAAGGACTGTAACAGGTTACGGATCTATAAAACCATGCATACATCCTTCATTCCAACATCACACAATCATCAGTTGATACAGTCAATCAAATCAAGTAAATATTCACTGTTAACACATGTTTGACAGTTTTTGTCACTATTTCCTTGGACCTTTGCATTAGAAACTTATCTTCTCCAATATGTATGCAATATGAATAGGTGCTTTTTCCCAGCTAGTCCTGTGAAGCCTGTTTTCCATTCAACAGAAATTTACCAGCTCTACAGCACAAGATATAATCCCATCATTGAAGTCCCATTCTATTCGTGAATAATCATGTTACGGACTCCTTTTCTTGCAGTTCCCATTTGCTGCTGAGACATAGTTTTGAAAACGGGAAAAATTCCCACAGAATAGTCCTACAGTTACCCCGCACTTTTCAGAATCTTCCTCCTCGTAGCAAAGCAATGCTCGAGATTACACAATTCTGAGAAACATTAAACGGCCCAAAGTAAACTGTAGATCAACTTCTTACTCAGAACTAAACACTCTCAAAATTAGGCTCTCCTTGACTTTCATCAGTAGTGGCGTTAGACTGACACGAGAGTGGCACACATAGAAATCCAAAAGAAATGCACTTAATTGAATTCAATTTTCAGGTTCGTAGAATACATGCATGTCATCTATATACACAAGAACCGATTTATCCCACGAAGACGGGAAGAGACGCTCAATCACATGGAAGCCGTCAAAGAGGTGAGCAGATGATCAGATGGTTTTGTGTGGGCCTTATCAATACCAGTCGACAAATTCCCTCCTCAAAACGACCGTCGCTGAGATCACTGCCCTTCCCATCTCAATGTCTCTGCGTGTGTGTGAATTTTCCGGCGTTTATCTTGGCGGTCTCTTGATACTACAAATAAAAGGTACGACTGATCCCACCCATCTCTTAGCATTCACATTCCTTCTCTTCAAAAACAAGAAAAAGAATGATGAGGAAAAGAGAGAGCAGATGAACTTACTTTTCTGGGAATAGAAAGAATCGAGTTATCAAAGAGGAAATAGCGGAATAATTCATTTTGTCGGGTCTTGAATGACGACCAGGGTAAATTTGGAATCTGTTCGGCCGTTTGAAAGCAGTGTACCAATTCTCAATATCAAACTCTGGACGATTTGGGATCAATCGGGAGAC